TGAATCAAGGGGAAGGAAAATTATGGATCAAGAGTTATGAATCATTTTATTCAAAGGTGTTTAATATTAAAATTTCAAGGGGTATGAATCTTAAATGTCCAAGGAGCGTGAAACTCATGAATCAAAGGTTGAGAAGCTTCAAGCTTACCTCAAATTTAAGATTCAATTCAAAATCTTCCAAAATCACCAGAATGTTCCAAATCTTCTCCATCAAGCCTCAACTCATTGAAACAAGCTCTTTCCTCTAAAATATCTCAAGCACATTAGAACACAGCACGTGGACGCCAAGTTTACGATTTTATTCGGTAACAAAAAAAATCTTCCAAATTCTTCTTTTTTTGTAATCGATATGAATATATAAAATAAAATAAAAATAAATTCTTTGTGTATGGCTGTATATGTGTTCACCGACGTGATTCCACTTGAGATATTGTGTCATGGACAAGCTTCTTCTTCTTCTAATAGCTCCAAACTATTTTGTTTTTGTTATATTTTCCCAAAAAAAAAAAATCGAAAGAAATTTGAAACTTTTTTTTTAGTGACGATTTTAAAGACTTTTGAGACATTTTTTGACATGCTTGTGTGTTTTTTTATTGTGAGGAAGAAGAAAAATGAAAAGTGAAAAAGTTTTTTTCTGTTCTTATTTTTTCTGTTTCGAAGACTTAATGCTTGCCACTATCGACATCATATAGGAATAATGGAGATGGATATATTATGTATATTTGAAATTATGGAGTTACTGAGATTTTTTTATGAGTTTTTTCGAGGACTTGAGATTTTTACAGGGTTGGAGATTGTAAGGATGAGGGGTTGGGACGTTATTGGAGGAAGCATTGGTCACCAGGCTGGAGTATATTGTCAATTTCAACATGAAATAGGTTTCATATTGTCTATCTTGTTCTTAATAAGAAGCGACTCTAGAGAATGAACCATTATACTAAGGAGTCTCCTACCTAACCTACTCAGAGTGTAATCCCGATCATAATTGTCCAACATTGACCTTATCTTAACCCTTCAACCTTTTTTACCAATCCTATCTTCCCTCTAATTCCAAACTTAACCTTAAAAACCTATTTACGTCTCCTTTTTTGCCGTTCCCACAATCTTTAATTCAAGCATCACATTCCACTTTTTATTACATTCTTTAGTAACCAAATTTGTTGACCGCAAGACGAGATATTTATTGGAAAATTGACATCAACAAATAGAAAAGTTAAAGTTATGAAATGTTATTTCCGTCTAGAAGACAATTGCTATTGTTCGCAAATATTTTCTTGCGGTCTTGCTGCTCGTGGATTATGAATTATGAGTCATAATTGGGAAGAGAAATATGGAAAAAAAATTGCAAATTAATCCAATTTAATTTTAAAAAAAATCCAACGTCTTAGTCGCGACATTCAGTGACTACAATTCAAGCAGAAACAACATGAAATGCTCTCTGACCTCTGAACTGGATGTCAATATTGACACCGACAGTTAGATCAACTTACAAGCCTCAATGGACAATGCATGATTATTGATTTAGAATTTTCCAGACATGAGATTTATTTTTTTTTTTTGATTTCATTTGTTTTGATGAATTTATGGAGCTATGTTGGGTAAAATGGATGTGAATTGGGTGTGAGTGGGTCTGTAGCTGGTTTAATGAGTTACAATGAGGATCAGCCTTAGAACCATAATTTGATGTACTACTTATTGAAGTACAAATTGAAATATTCTGAGATTTGGGTAGATTATAGCCCGGGATATTCTAGAAATTAATCTTTAAAGCTATACCTTGAAGCTGGATCCATAAAAGCAGTTTCTAATGCTTCTTGGGGTTCCTAATCTAGTCGCAGCTTATGTTTATTCATTGTGTTGTTGTTCCTTGGCTGGAGCGCACAAGAACCCATTGCCGCGCTTGGAGATCGTTTGAAGACTGCTATATCCTTAAAAAACTTCTGCCAGTTCGGGATATTAAGGACTCTAGCGTCCTATTCAACACATCCAATCCATGTTTACTCATTAATTGGAGTTGTTTTCAGTTCTAAGATAGGAAACTCCAGCTTATTCAAGATATCGGCCTCTAATGAGATCTTGAGGGAAGTCTGTAGGGCCATCCTCCGAAAATCCTAATCACTATTCATATTTATTGCATAATTCATGTAATTTTCATCACAATTTCCTAGAAAAGCTTTAATACTTCTTACCCAGATGGCTCTAGAACACATCATCCTCCCACCCCAACCCCACCCCCCTCCCCCCATTTGACATCTCGCGAATTTCACAATCCAACACAAAAAAAAGACAGCAAAAGGCAACAACAAATAGAGCATAGCTACAATAATTTATGCTCTATCATCGTACTATCTACATTTCGGATGAGGAACATAAAGGAGTTCTCGGAATTCTCAGTTCTGTGCTTTTTTAGTGCCGAATTTTATGAGCGCTATTGTAGTCGCAGATTCGCTTTTCAAGGCAATTTTTAGGAGCATTAGAATATAAGAGTTAAAGCTATGAGACATAATTATAAGCATCAAATTGATTATTTTATTAAAGTATGTGCTGAAGTCTGGTTTGATGCTTTAAGATTTGGGAGTTTTTGGAGCGATTTTTAAAATTTCAAAATTTTAATGATTTTTTTAAATTTCAAATTTTAACAGATATTCGAAATTCAAATTTTCAAAAATTTTAAAAATGCGCTCAATTTTGAAATTTAAATTTTTAACTCACTCAAAACTGCCAAAAAAATTATTTCTCTTCTTTTTTCCATCCTCAGCTCTTGTTTGTGAAGTAATAAAAAAAATGTTCTGTGTGTGTTTCAGTCTTCGTTTTATTATTGAGAAGATTATTATTGGAAGTAAATTGAAAATATGATGTGAATGCACGAGTCGAAGATTAATGAAGAAGAAAGTCGCAGTGGTTTGGGGGAGTTATAGGGTGAAAGAGTGAAGGAAATGGTAAAAGTAAAGCTAGGAGTAAGGTTCTAAATACTTTTTTTGGGTATTGTACATACTAGTGCAGGGCGTAATCCTTTAGGAGGGTCCTAAATTTTTTCTTCATTTATTTTCAATTTTTTCAAGGAAATAGATCAAATAAGGTCCAATCCTCTCCAACCCCTCGCTATGCTCTTATCCCTCCTAATTACCCCTATACCAACCTCATCACGTACCCCGAATCATCTTCAACCTCCATCCAATTCTAATGAAGCTCACTTGCGGACAAAAGTCAAATCAACACACAGCACAGCATAGAACATCGTGCAAGCACAGAAAAAAAGGAGTTAAGAAAAAGAAACAATTGAGGAGTGGATTAATGTGTACACAATTGGATGCTTCTTTTCGCCGCTAGACGTGATCGATTGTTTTCGGCTCCACCGCGACGTCGACTTTTTCTCTCTTACACACAGAAAATTTTCTTTACTAGAACTTTTTTTCTCCTCGTTCCTTCCTTCACACACACATTTAAATAATTTTCTTTTTACACACACAAGCATGGATAAGAACATAACCTATAAGATTTTTTTTTGCTGTATAGTTTCTGTTGTAGCCGATGGAAATGTCCTCAATATTGGGCTGTGTGGGGTGGGGGTGGGGGGTGTATGTAAGAAATGTTGAACAATGTCCTTCGACATCCGCCGTAACTTCTAATAAAATGCCAATAGTATGATGACTTTTGAGATGTTCGACTTAATTTTCGGTGGGCTACAACCCATCCTGCCTTCTCTTCCTTCAATTCTCTCTTATTCTCATAATTCTCTCTTTTTTGTGTGAACCTCGTGGCTTTTTCTTTATTTTTTTGACTTAGAAATTCTTTTTGTCTTGACTTTTGTGCTGTTCTAGCAATGAAGGCATAAAAAAGTGTTTGTCATGCGACTTTCGTGTGCCTCGTGTGTCTATTCGGTCTTCGTTTTGTTTTAAGTTACAAATTATTGTAAAATGTGCGAGATAAAATTTTTCTTTTTTGATGGGTTTACTTCAATGCGTGGTGAGGAATGGAACCTCATTTAATAGAAATTTTGTTTTAAAATATTTGAATCTGGAAGTCTGTTTTCATTTCATTCCGAAAAATGTAATATGTATTTTTAAACTTAGTCGAATCCAGAAAAATCCTCTTAAGTTCAATATAGTCTAATAAAGTTAAAATCTAATCTAATCTAGTCCAATCTAGTCTAATCTAGTCTAATCTAGTCTATTCGAGTCTAATCTAGTATAATCTTGCCTAATCTAGTCTATTTGAGTCTAATCTAGTCTATTCGAATCTAATCTAGTCTATTCGAGTCTAATCTAGTCTATTCGAGTCAAATCTAGTCTAATCTAGTCTAATCTAGTCTAATTTAGTCTAATCTAGTCTAATCTAGTCTATTAGAGTCTAATCTAGTCTAATCTAGTCTATTCGAGTCTAATCTAGTCTATTCGAGTCAAATCTAGTCTAATCTAGTCTAATCTAGTCTAATTTAGTCTAATCTAGTCTAATCTAGTCTAATCTAGTCTATTAGAGTCTAATCTAGTCTAATCTAGTCTATTCGAGTCTAATCTAGTCTATTCGAGTCTAATCTAGTCTATTCGAGTCAAATCTAGTCTAATCTAGTCTAATCTAGTCTAATTTAGTCCAATCTAGTCTAATCTAGTCCATTAGAGTCTAATCTAGTTTAATCTAGTCTAATCGCATTTTGATGTCCTTAAATTAAATTTAAATTCGTGACTTCTGAAAAAAAAAACTTCTTACTCAGAATTATTTTTATTTTCTCATAAATTCCACAAAAAAATTTTATTTCACCACACAAAAATTTTACTGCATTTCTATTTATCGATAAGAATTTTTTAATAGTTTTGCAATCATAATTTCCACATAAAACAATTCAAAAATCACATAAAACATGCAAAAAAAATCCTCATCAAACTCAATTGCTCGTAATTTTCAATTTTTCACATAAAAAAATTTCCACTTAACCTCAAAAAAAAAATAATTTTTTTATTTTTCTTTTCCGGGAAAAAAATCTTCAAATTTGAAAAATTCAGGTCAACGCATCAACAGTCATCACATCTTGACATTCTCAACGGCATACGATAATCAAACGCAGCCAAATGCAAAGCTCAAAATTCGTAAGGCGACTCTATGGATTATGGTTGAGGTGCAGCCGTCATCGCACAAAATGAAACGTGAGTCGGTTGATGATGAGAGTTCGAGGAGTAGTCGAGTGAATGTAAATACAACAAATGAGTCACTCAGACACAATCAAGCGCCCACAAAGCGACGGAAGCGAAGGAAAAAGGACGGACAGAATAGAAATGAGAAAAATTTGTATTTTTATTATGATAATCATAATTTTAACAGCCATATCAGTAATAATAATAATAATAATAATAATGAAAATAATGATAACAGTTATAACAATTATAAAAATTATAACGACATTCAAAACACTATGAGCAAGAACAATAATAATAATAATAATAAAAATAATAATAATGATAATCATATCATTAATAATAATAGTTATGACGATATTGAATGGCGTGATGGACAACAAAAGTCCACAAAAACTGATAATGACCCATCATTGAGGGATAGTTTAAGTAATGCGGGAGATAAGTTTGGCAATTTTACACAAATCAGCACCAATAACAATAATAATCATTATAGACATAAGCATAAGAGTCATAATAACATTACTTTGTGGATATTTCGAGTACGTGACACAAATCAAACTAATCTCAATAGTTCTGTGGATGATAATAAGGTGAGTATTTGTCAATGTCCTTTGGATAATGTAAATTATTAAAATCTTAACTTTAGGATAGTCCTTCCTACTCCAATCAAGTTTAATTTCGTTAATCTAGTACAAAATCTAGTCTAATCTAGTCCGATCTACTCCAAAATAGTACAGTCTTGTGCAATCTAGTCTAATCTATTCAAACTTAGTCCGCCCTAGTACAATCTAATCTTATTTAGTATAATCTTATCCAAACTAGTCTAATCTAGTCCAATCTGCTCCAATCTACTCTAATCAAGCCCACTTTTTTTCAACCTAGTCGAATCTAATCTAATCTAGTCCAGTATAGTCAAATCTATTCCAATCTAATCTTATCTAATCCAATCTACTCCAATCTTCTCCAATTTAGTTCAATTTATTTTAATCTAGTCCAATCTAGTTGAATCTACTCCAATCTACTTCAATCTAGTTCAGTATACTGTAATCTAGTCCAATCTACTCCAATCTACTTTAACCTACTCCAATCTAGTCCGATCTACTCGAATCTAGTTCAATCTAGTCTAATGTAGTCTAATCTACTTCAATCTAGTGCAATCTAGTTTATAATAGTCTAATCTACTCCAATCTAGTCCAATTTGGTCCAATATAGTCTAATCTAGTCTAATCTAGTCCAAACTAATCTCCAATTTAGTCTAATCTAATCCAACATAGTTCAATCTAATCCATTTAACTTCAAATCATCTCAAAAATCAATCAAACTGATTCATGACCTTCCCCAAAACGATGCTTGGGTTTTCATCTGGGATTTTCATCACTTGAGATTCCATTTTCCGAGAATTTTGTCTCCGAATCCCAAATAAATTTCCTTAACGATTTCAACATTGAAGGCACATATTCACAAAAAATGATTATTATTCAATTGAATCTATTTTTCTTCTACAATTCAATATGCTGTTAATATAATAAATTCTCATATTCTCCAACTTTCTGTGCCATTATTTAATGACACAATCATAATTTCAATGTTATTAGGGAAAGAATTTTTTTGCTTACAATGTGAAAATTTTTCATTCTCACTGTTTACATGCGTGTGTGGCTGTAGATGTGAAAGTATTTTTGATTCAGCCATAAATAACCGAATTAACACTACTCATGTATACAAAAAATAGAGAAAAGTAACTTTTTACGAATGTTTATTGTTGTTGAGGATCAAAGTCAATATGATCATTGATTTTTCCCTTTCCTTTGGCATTTTTATGGACATTCTTAAGGAAAAATCGATAGACTAAATTGTTGTTTTTGTCATCTTAATTTTCATGTTTTCTAGGAAAAATGTCTCGATTAGATTTTTTGGTGATGCTGCAGAGTAATTTTGTATTGTTCGTAGTCTTGAATTTACTTTATTACTAGATTGTTCTAGTATGGATTTTATTTTACTAGCATTGAACTAGCATTGACTTCATTTAACTAGATTTTGTTCCAGGTTGGACTAGATTTTGTAACAGATTTGACTAGATTGGACTAATTTGGAATAGATTGGACTAGATTTTGTACCAGATTGAAGAGATTTTGTACTAGATTGAACGAGAGTTTGTACTAGATTAAAAAAGACTGAGCAATATTAAACTAGATTTTGGACTAGAAAAAACTACATTTTGTGCTAGATTTGACTATTTTGCAAAAGATTGGGCTAGATTGGATTAGATTGAGCTAAATTTTGTACCGGATTGGATCAGATTAGACAAGTTTAAACTAGATTTTGTACCAGATTGGATTAGTTAAAAAAAGATTTAATCAGATTTCTTACTAGATTGTCCTTGATTTCATCATAAATCCATTACCTTTTAACCTTATACTCAAAATCTTCCTTTAATTTTAGGTATTAAGTGATCGCATGGAATATAGTACATCAAAGGAGATTTCCCTCTCAAAGCTAGGCTGGCAAAAGCTCGACGTAACGTCACTAGTTCAAAAATTCTACGAAGAAAGTTCGAGTCGAACGAGTCTGGAGACCAGCATGCAACTGCTCATCGACTGCACCGGTTGTATTCGTAATAATCTCAAAATTCATTTACTTCAAGACACTGACGAGGTGGAGTCGACAAAGCCATTCCTCGTCGTGCATATAGAGCCAAATATTGTTCGACGAACGCGACGACGAGCAATTGACTGTTCATTGGCTGGCAAGAGTCAGTGTTGTAAGCAACGATTTTATGTTAGTTTTAAGACATTAGGATGGGATGATTGGATCATTGCACCACCTGGTTATTATGCTAATTATTGTCGTGGTGATTGTGGCAATGGAGTTCATAGAACGCCGGATACGTTACTGACGTACTACTCCCATGTTTTCCATGAAGTGAGAAAATACAACAAACTTAATGGAAATCAGCTCTGCTGTGCACCACTCAAGTTCTCCAGCATGTCACTAATTTATTTTGATCCCGATGGAAAAATTATCAAACGTGATTTACCCAAAATGGTCGTGGATGAGTGCGGATGTCCGTGATTTTATGTTGTAATCGTGTGGATTATTCTGAATAAATTCAATTGAATTGTGATCTGATTGCAGAGATTTAGGAGATCTTTATGAAAATTATAAAAAATGAATGAGAAAATGCAGTTTGACTGTTAATGAAAGAAAATGTCTATCACATGTCAATTCCAATGAGATAATAGTCCTTTTGAAGGATCTGAAATTTTTAATATAAAATTACGGCGGGTTTCATAAGTTTTCGTGGGAATGGAGATTGGCTAAAAGTGCTCAAGCCAAGGGGAGAGCTTGAAAAGAGTATGAGTAAGGTTGGGTTGGGGGAAGGCTAAAGCTAAGGTTTGACCGAGGCTAGGGCTAGGGCTTTGGTTTAGCTCCAAGAGTGCTAGGAAGAGGTTGAGGTAGGACTAAGGCAATTTAAGAACGAAGAGGTAGTTTGTACACGGTACGGATGGGATCTGGCTGGGATAGAGAAAGAATTAGGCTAAACAAGTCCTAAGGGCTAAGATAGGGTTGAGGTTTAGGGAGAAAAAGGATAGAACTAGGATAAAATAATAGCATAACTAGGTTTTGGCAAGGAAAAAGCCAGGGAAAGTTTGAGGTACAGCTTAGCTAGGGATAAGGTTAGGTTAGGACTCGGTAAGGGTTAAGTTAGGGCAAAGTTATGATAAGGCTAAAGCTCATCATGGAAACTTGAAACACCATCGATAAAACGCACATAAATATTTACCCGGAATGAAGAATTGATCAATTTTCATGTGATTGTGCCATGTGTTCAGCTCGAATCAAGGATATTGACCTTAGTCAAATAACTTAATAGATTCAAAAAATTATAAAAAAAAATTCAAGAACATTTAAATGACTCATTAAATTATGAATTAACTTGATTTAACCAAGAAAATTAAAAAAAAATTGTACAATAAATTCACAAAAATGACAACAGAAAAAAAATCTTAGATAAAAAATTGTAAAAAAACTTTAAAGCACATTAAAAACTTAAATAAAATGAATTTTTGTAAACAAGGTCCATTAAAAAGTGCATTATAAATTAATAGAATTAAAAAAAATATTATAAATTAAATAAAATATCGAAAAAAAAATTAAATGCCATTCAATTACCAAAAAAATGAAGAAAAAAAACTTTTTCCCTTCTCAATTTTCTCTCTCTATCTCTCTCCCTTTTCTCTATTTAAAAAAGACAAAAAAATATTAAATAATCACCAAAAATTCCTCACAATTTCCAAAAAAAAAACTCATAAAGATTAAGTGACAAAAAATATGAAAAAAATTAATGAAAATAAATGAAAAACATGTTTGTAAAAATAATAAAATAAAGGTTTGGCAAGGTTGAGTTGGATTTATGAAAAGCTAATATTTTTGATTTAAAATTTTAAACTCTTGATTTTTTCAAGGGTGTGGAACTGAAGAATTACATTTTGATCATTTTTGATTAATTTTGATCAGTTTTGATCATTTTTCTAATTTTTGAGTTTTTCAAAAAAAACTAAAAACATTTGTTATTTATTTTTTTAAAATTTCTTGAAAGTTTCAACATTATTTAAATTTTTTGAATTTTTTTAAATTTTTGAAAATCATTTGAATATATTTTAAAAATCCAACAAAACCTTCCCACAAAAAAAAAACAATAAATCAATAAAAAAAAACTTCTCAGATTAAATAAAAAAAATCTCCTTTTTCGTTCCATGTTTGATGTGATTTTTATTTTAATGCCGTCAAAACATTTATGATAATAAAAACTATAGTAAAAAAGAAAATGTAACATATTAAATAAAAATTTTTAAAAAATATATCGAAAAAGAAAACAAAAAAAAATTTGACAAAAAATTATTCACCGAAGTTAAAAAAAAGCTGAAAAAAATTTATGCATGCAATAACAAAACAGATTTAAAAAACAATTAAATTAATAAATAATTGAAAAAGTTGAATTTTAATTTTCATATCTTAAAATTAAAAAAAATAAATTAAATTTATGTTAAACACTTTTTTGTTACATTTTGAAATTTTAACATTTTTTTTAAATTAATTCAAATTTTTTCATATTTTTAAACTTAAAACCAATTATTTTAGTGAAATTGAATTTAACAATTAAAACAAATGTGAAAAAAATTTAATTTTTGTCTCGCAATATTGGAAATAAAATTTCCGCATGAATTTAACATAACATAAATGAAATAAATTAAATTTATTATAAATAAAACAATTAATGATCCAAACAAAATAAAAAAAAATTATGAAAATTTAAGCAATTTATTGAATGAGATTTAAGGTTGATAAATTAATTTAAAAATGACGAATTAAATGAAAATAAAAAAAATAAGAAAATTGTAAAATGCCAAAAATGATGAAAAACACAAACAAGATATGACAAAAATCTCTTTGAATAAAATGAAATAACATAGAATAAAAAATTTATTGATTCTAAAAATAAATTGATTTTTTTTGTGGTTTTTGGAATTTTTGTAGATTTTTTGGCAACTTTTTCAGCTGTTTTTGTGCACTTTGAAACTTTCTCGCACTTCCAGTCTTTTGATATTCCTCTTCTATTGCTCCTTATCGCCCTTTTGTCAAGGAACACTCAGTCTCTATCTCCAATGTTCAGTGTCTATACTATTACACATGTTAATGGCTATGTATCATCCTTAAACCTTCCCAAAGCTACTTGACATTTATTTTATTGCTGATTTTTATTACAGATCATTCTCTTGTATTACATTTAACACTGTGAAGGAACTGACAATTGACATGACTACATTTAAGTTTGTTTTTACAGCCATCTATGGTTGAAGGGTTCGTCACTGCTTATTTTCGGATGACTAGAGTCAGTTGAAATATTCGAAATGCTGCAAATCCCTCCTCACTCATACCCTAACCCAACCCTAACCCAACCCTAACCCAACCCTAACCCAACCCTAACCCAACCCTAACCCAACCCTAACCCAACCCTAACCCAACCCTAACCCAACCCTAACCCAACCCTAACCCAACCCTAACCCAATCCTAACCCAACCTTAACGCTACCCTAACCCAACCTTAACCCAACCCATAACCAAATCCTAGCTACCAATCCCTTGACAACAATTTCACCACAGAAGACATCCTTCAATTGTTTACAGATTCACATCCATCATTACGGGTAATTTCACTTCCTTACTACGTCAAAATGACGCCTTTGTATGTAAACATTGTTGACTTTTATGAGAAAATTATTTCCTTATTCGCATTAATAACAATGATAATTTTTAATAACACAACCATTCCCACTTTTTCCTTATTTTCTTGTTTTTCTCATCTTCATTGCTGAATGGAAAGTGTCAGTTGATGTTGTGTGGCTGAAGTGGATGGGAGGATTTTTGTGAGTAAGAAAAGTTTTGCAAAGGATTTTACTGTGAAAAATAAAAAAAAAAATCAAAAATGGACAAATTAATTCTAAAGTTCATCGCAAGACCAATTTCAACCTCCCAGTCAGCCTACACCTCCTACCTACCACTCCACATCTATGGAAAGCTTTTTGGATTCGGAATTTTTTCAATCAATCCTAAAAATTACACAACCAAGTTTAAAATTCAAGATTTCTTCTACGCAGTCCTCAGCATCATCCTCAATGGATTCATCATTTGTGTCTACTGGAAAATCTTTACAAAACCAAATTTCATTCAATCGACAGTAAAATTCCATTCAACAGTAACCTTGACTACACCTTTAGTGATGTTCTGTCAATACTTAGCTTATACAGCTATTATGATCTTAAGTGTAGTTAAGCGTCATGAGCTTTGTATGATTTTGAGGAAAATTAAAAAAATTGACCTCGATTTGGAGGACTTTCGAGTCAGGTTTGACTATCATAGTGAAATGTGTCACATAAGAAAAATAATTCTTATTATCATATCCGTCATAATTACTATGATGGCATTGACACACATCAGTGAGAAATTCTATGACATTCATATTGACTTCAAGTACGACATTTACTTATTTTGGATCCTTAATTGTGGGGTTATATTACTCCTTGGATTCTGTACTGTGGCTATTGGAATAAGGAATCGATTTATTGGAGTTAATAAGTGCATTAGGTAAGTATAGCTATAGTGTGAATGCACCTAAACCTCAAAAAGGCTATGGTGAAAGCATCTGCAATTTTAAAATTTAGTGTGAAGGCACCTGAAACCCCAAAAAATTATGTGAATATACCTTTACCAAGCTACTCTATTTTGAAAGCATCTGAATATTTAAAAACTAGTTTGAAGATAGTTTAAAAATTAATAACTAGTGTGAAGGCATCTTAATCTTAAAAAACTATTTTGAAGGCACCTTAATCTTTAAAAGCTAGTTTGAAGGCATTTTAATCTTAAAAAGCTAGTGTGAAGGAACCTTAATCTTAAAAAGCTAGTGTGAAGAAACCTTAATCTTAAAAAGCTAGTGTGAAAGAACCTTAATCTTAAAAAGCTATTTTGAAGGCACCTTAATCTTAAAAAGCTAGTGTGAAGGAACCTTAATCTTTAAAAGCTAGTATGAAGGAACCCTAATCTTTAAAAGCTATTTTGAAGGCACCTTAATCTTAAAAAGCTAGTGTGAAGGAACCTTAATCTTAAAAAGCTAGTGTGAAGAAACCTTAATCTTAAAAAGCTAGTGTAAAGGAACCTTAATCTTAAAAAGCTAGTGTGAAGGCACATTAATCTTAAAAAGCTATTTTGAGGGCACCTTAATCCTAAAAAGCTAGTGTGAAGGAACCTTAATCTTTAAAAGCTAGTGTGAAGGAACCTTAATCATATAAAGCTAGTGTGAATGAACCTTAATCTTATAAAGCTAGTGAGAATGCACCTTAAACTTAAAAAGCTAGGCTGAAGGCACATTAATCTTAAAAGACTAGTGTGAATGCACCTTAATCATAAAAAGCAAGTGTGAAGACACCTTAGTCTTACAAAACTATTGCGAAAGAACCTGAACATTAGAATACTATTGTAAAGGTACATTTACCTGAAAAATCTAGTGTGAAGGTTCCTGAACTTAGCATCTCTTGTGTGAAGCCACCTGATCTAACTTATTTTTATTTTTGCAGCACCTTGAACTTTTCATCCAAAGTTCCACCTTCAATGATAATCAAGAATCTCCGAAAGCTAGCTGACATCCACATGCAGATAGTCGAGACAATTGTAATCATCAACAGGACATTCTCAATAGCTATGCTGTCGTACTTTACACTAGCTTTTTATTGGTGCTGCATTTTGCTGTTTATTTTTATGAAAACACCTGGATTTTTATGGAGGAAGTACTACATGTTCCTGATATCCAAAGCGATCATAAATTCATTCATGTTTGGACTTTTGGTTGCTGTAATTTGGAGTGCTGCAAAAGCTAAAAATGAAGGACGAAAAGCTGCGATTATTTTGTATAAAATTAAGAATGATATTGATGATCAGGAAGTGGCTGAAAAGGTGAGTTATTGTCCTGGATCTTGATATTTTTCAGTTATTAATGTTGATTTTTTGTAGATTACAGCATTTATTGACCAAGTTAAGTTCACATCGACAAAATTTTCTTGTGGCTTGTTCACATTTGACTGGAAATTGCTATTTAAGGTGAGTCAGGTTGACTGTGAATTTGTGATAATTTAAATTTTGAATATTTTCAGTTCCTGAGTGCAGCAATTATGTATTTTGTGATTCTGATGCAGTTTGAGTCATCAATTCATAAATATGACAACATCAACATTCAATTTGATAAGTTTGTTGAGAATTTTACGAGAATTATTGAAGGAAGAGTTAATGGATCTGAAAATTATTAAAAAATCTAATTTATAGAAAAATTTAAAAGTTTTTTTTATTAAATTTCATCAATTTTTTGAAATTTACAAACCCATTTGGGTGATCTGCAGCTTCTTTGTAAAGGATATTTCTCAGTATAAAGCTTTTTTCTAGTCAAAGTCTCTAACTGTATCCCATATTCAGCCATAACTTCCTGTATCCATTCAAATACTTCATTAAAATATTCTTTATTCTCAAATGACATTTGAAGTAAATTTTTTCCGTCATTATTTTCAGCTTTTAAATAATTTTTTTGCTCATCGTGACTCATAAAGCTCTTTATGTCATTCCAAATCAGCTCCACAAATTCCTTTTTATTATTTTCAACAGCATTAAACAACAAATGATTCCCAAATTTATCAACATGCTTAATAAACATCAAGATTTCCTCAGATTTGAAATATTTTCTGAATTTATTCCACAAATTTGCATGCAGTTCCGCTGACTTTGTCCATTTTGATTCTGACTGTAGCACATTCCGGTTCCAATTGTTGATGTTGCTGAGAATTTTAACAATTTCATCTGGTCGCGATAATTTCTCCAATTCGTTCATCATAAAGTCAAAGAATTCATTTGGCAGCTCGTAAACTGCAATTTGAATGATGTTGTTGCCAAAAAAGTCGACTTGCTTGATCACATCCAAAAAATCGTGATCGTCTTTAAAGGAATCACGATAAAGTTGCCATAAAAATTGATGAGTTTGGAGCTTTTTTGACTTAAATCCAGCCCAGGGGCGTAGCCAGAAAATTTTTAAGGGGGGGGCCCATCTTCGAAAATTGAAAAAACCGTTATTTTGTATCCTTAAATCTATATTCATTCTTCATAAGTTTAAATATTTAATTCATTATTCATACATTAAATTTAATTTTCCGTGCTCATTTTGACATTTCTTTCGTCACTTCCTCTACATTAACTGGTTCTTCTCTATAAATACTTAATAAAACAATTATCAGATTTTCGTAGGGGGGGGCCCGGGCCCCCTATGGCCCCCCCCTGGCTACGCCCCTGATCCAGCCATTTGAAGTAAGTTCCTGTCTCTTTTGTGTTTTAAAAGTAAAATATTTTGGAATTGAGAGGCTGTAAAGCAAGTTTTGAGGATGTTAAGGGTCAGTTCTACAATTGATGGCTCTTCGTCTTTTTCTACTAAGTCGTGAATGAAGTTAAAGTCTTTTTGGAGCAGGAAGTCCTTCAATTCTTCTTTATTGTCGAATGAGTTGCTTAAAAGATGCAGGAAGGCTTCTTGGAAGTCGAGTTTGTTGATCATTCTGGCATTATGTAGGATTGACTTCTTTCTTGAGTCGACTTTCTTGATGATTTCGATGAGATTTGATGAATTTAGAGATTTTTCAGCTGCTGTCCATATAATTTGGAGCTTCTTAATGTCTGCTGTCTGGATGCAAATTTGAAGGACATTTTCATGATTTTTATTGCAGTTATTCATTAACTTGAATAATTCTATGGATTCTAAGTACTTTTGGATTACTTCCATGAATTTATGCATCTTATTGACATCTAATGATATAGACTTAATCAAGAAGCTGAAGATATTTTCCTCAAATCCATCAGAACTCTTAAGTTTCAAGCAATTTTTAATAAATTCTTTACCAGTCTTAGCTTCAACTTTAATCACAAAGTCCTCGAAGATTTCCACATTTCGACTAGATTGAATATTTTTATGGAAGACTAGCTGCACTTCAATCAACTCCTTCAAGTCATCAACAGTCAGGAAATCAATCATAAAATCTTGATATTTTATAAACAATTCTGAATTCTCAGCTCTCGCATTTATAGAGTCAGCTGTGTCAAACAATATCCTTCGTACCTTTATATAATCTCCATTTTTAAGGACCTCAATGACTAAATACCCAAAATGCTCATTAAACTTGCTAAAATAATGGTGAAAATTCGTCATGTCATTGAAATATTCAATTTGCTTCTTCATCTTTTCCAGGATCTTCTTTAAAAATGAGTAATCATCAATCACGTCACTTAAAAACACTCGAACCATCTCAAACTTCTTTATAGTCAGCACCCTAGCTAGCAACTCACAAAATGCTTCTTTAAACTTAGTCTTCTTTTTTAATAATCCAGCAATATAATCAGCTACATAAAATTCACAAAATGTCTCGTGCAGGAAGTAAAACTCATCTCCAATCTTAGTCATCAGTCCGCATGCAATGACTTCTACATCAAGCCATTCAGATTCATCAATATCTGGGAACAAGTCATCAATAAGATCAGAAAATAATTTTTTTAAAGCTGAATGTTGATGAAATTTTTGGAAGTTCAGTTCGTAATCTTGACTTTCTGTGTTTGCTGTATGCCTGATTTCACCTTTGGCTGATGACCATCGTTCGTAGAGCTTTTCAGCAAATGTTTTGTAGATTTTGAACTTTTTGATGGTAATTGTGGCTTTTTTGTTGTCTTTGAAGCTCTCAGCAATCATTTTAAACAATTGAGGCATTCCAACTGATCGTGTGTCAGCCATGACAATCTTATTGATTATACGACGTGCATTTTGATGATAAATTTCAAGTTTTTCGGACTTTTTCATATACTTTTCAAAGTCATCTTTAGATAAACTTGCCAAGTCATTCTCAATATCCTGCAACATCCAACATTTTACAATAAAGTCAACACCATCTTTGTCTGTGAAGCTAGAAAGCTTGTAACTTGCAGCATCTTCAAGTTTCTCTTTTAAGTCAACCTCAAAGTAGTCTCTAGTCGCTATCCATAGCTGGTTGCCTTCACAATACTCAAATGACTGAGCTAATTTCGACACCAATTCAGCACAATTTGGAGCAATTTCATCAAATCCATCAAATAAAATGATGACTTTACCAATTTCGTACATCTTTTTAAACAATTTGGCTTCAAACTTGTCATCTTGTAGCTTCAATATTTTGGTGACAAGAAATTTGCAAAATTCAGGTTTGATTTTTTGTGTTTTGAATTCTTTTATAAAATGCTTCAAATCCACATATGTTATCCACTTTGTAGGATTTGTCTGGTTCAAGGTTGTTGTGATATTTTTTATAGCCCAGCTTTTGCCACTTCCAGCAATGTCTGAGATGATGACGTACTTTTTGTCTTTTACTTGATTTAGAAGGTCTGATTGGGAAAATTTGGTAGCTTTTGTTGAGTTTTGGTGATTGGTTGGCGTTTTGATGTCATGTCTGGAGATGAAGTCTCTTGGTTGAAACAAGAACTTGAACTTTTGACTGACAATTTGGACTTCAAGCTTCGTATTTAATAAAATTGGTGAGTTTTCTAGAACTAAGTTTAATATTTCACTGTCAATCATTTCTGTGAGCTTTTGGACAGCTTTTTCTTCATCTTCTGCTGCAGTTTGGTTAGACTCAATCATTAAAAGGTCCTTTAAAGTTAAATTTGAATTATTCTGAAAGTTTATTTTAATCTTCAACAGTTTTCTTTGACTTGGTGCTGTTAAATCCTCCCAGCTGTAATTTGCTTCAATTCTAACTGGATTTAAATCTTTTTTGACAATGTTTTGGATCAGAATGTCAGCTTGACTCTCATTTGACACTATAAAGATGAATTTCAATGATTTATTTCCAACAAATTCTTCAAAATCTCCAAAAGTCTCTTTTGAGCAATCAACAAAAATATTTAAATCTAAATCTTGTTCCAACAGCTGCTTTAAGTCATCAAATATTTCCTCATTCTTTAACATTTTAGGATCAATGAAAATATTTTGTGCTTTAAAAATGTCGCCATAAGTTCCATCCAGCTGAGTAATCATATCAATAAGCAGTAGCTTAGGAACATTTGTGGTTACTACAATGGCTTCTTTGCTGAATATTTCCATAAACAATCCTTTAGACACAAGGAGATCTAGTTTACGATTCATAATGTTTGGCAACAACTGCATGACTCTGTTCATCTTTTGAACATTTTTTCGGATTTCTAAATTAAATTTTTGCATTTCTGAGAAAACATGGATTTGGAAGTACTCAAAAAGCTCATTGTACTTTAATTGTAGACATTTTAACTTTTCCTCATTGTCGTCATATTGTGCAAGGATCTGCATAACTCTAACTATGAGTTCTTGATGAAAATCTTTGCTATCATAATGTGTAAATACTGAAAATATGATTCCATCACATTCATCGTCAGGACTTTTTGATTTTTTTACTGACCACTTATCAATAGAAGTAACAATAGCTTTATATCTTTCAATTACATCAATACAATGTTTGTAATAAGGATTCTCATTATTCTCGTAGACTAGCTTCATCACATAGTGGCACAACTCATGAGCTATCACGCCTTTAATCTTCTGATCGCGTTCATTATTAGTTGATTTGGCACCAATGAAGATTAATTTTTGTTGAGGATATGTTGTTCCAAGGGATCCAGGACCTGACAAGCTTGCGTTTTCCACCTGGAAAGAAATCAATGAACAAACTTTAAAAATGTTGAAAATTTAACCAATTTTAGAGAGGAAGGGGGAGAAGGGGGAATGGGGGGGGGGGAGAACTTGATTGAAAAAAGTTGCTTTTCTCGAATGATTTAATCAAACATTTTTTGAGGTTATCTTCTTCTTGACTTCAGTTCGCCCTAAGATGTCATCAGTGTCAGATCACCCTAGTCCTTAGGATTCACTTAAGTACTTTAAACTCATCCCACCTCAAATGAACCTTACATGGGCAAAAATGATCAGTTTCTCAGATATAATAGAGGACCTAAGGGAAACATGAATTGGGAATGCCGAAGTTTGACTCCGAAGCTGACTAAATGTCAAGTGCAAATCTTTTCCTGATATCCCATTATACCGCTAAATGCACCGCAGGTGACCGAGCCCTGTGCCGGAATAAGTACTTTAAAGTATAGATTAAAAGCATGTCCAAACAATCTCGCTAGTAGGGTGGCAGTGCCATATTGAGGCTAAGGATGATGAGGTTTACAACCAACCATTTCTGATATCAAGATGTACAAAGAAGGTACCTTGGAGGGTACAAACAGACATCATGCCTCAAGAAATTGCATTTATTACTTACTGATTCATCCTCAAAGTCGAAAATCAACTTCAAATCCTTACAAGAAGCAGCAACATTCAACAAATCGGAACCAAATAGAATCTTGTTGATGTCTTCATACCATTTCCTTATTTTTTGACGATATTCAGTTTCTTGATCTTTATTGATCCTTTTGTTGTGGATAAATGAATGATTGCATAGTAAGTTGACTGATATTTGAGAATCATCAAGAGCGCTGCTGACATTTTCGCTCATTTGCTGTGATTTACATCTTTTTGCTTTTCTCAGCTCTTTTTTGTTGAGTTGCTTCTCAATATTGACATCAAATGCTTGAAAGCCAAGTGATTTGAGGTAGTAAAATACTTTATATTTTTGTGCGTCTACAGCTTGTTTAAGTGCTGAGCTGTTTGCCGGATTATAGACTACTTTGAGGCTTAAATTGTTGTCGATGAATTTTGTGATTTGTTCCAAAACTTCGGCTTTGATGGCACATTCAAAGTTGGTTCTTTCTGTAAATATTTTGTCAAGTCTTTCATGTTCAACTTGGTTTATGTTGAAGTTTGAAGGAAATGGAAAATCAGAAATATCAAGCAAGTCACAGAGGATATCAAACTGATGCGAAGCTAGTGCAGTTGTTGATATTCTAACTTGATGATTGAATGGAAGTTGTTGGATTAAATGTGTGCAGTTGCTGATTAAAAATTCAATTATTTGTGTGTTCTTATGTTCTACAGCTGTGGATAGAACTGATGGGTAATTGGATATATCTGATTGGTTGACATTTATCACATAACTTAAATAATTTTGTGAATCTATGCTTAGTGTCCTTACAGAAGCTATAAATGCAGCATCTAAAGCAGCCAAAAGTTCATTTTTTGATCCATATGCTGCACATTTTAGAACTAATTTGTCCAAAAGCTCTTCAGGAAGGTCAAAAAGTCTTAAGAATTTTAGAATTATTGTTGAGTTTTTTAAGTTTAATAAATTTTCAAGGACTAGATTCAAGCAGTTGTCAATTTTTCCATCTAAAATTGAGCACAAAAGGGTGGGAAAATTCAGCATAGCCTCAAAATTCCTATGATTTTTATCTATCTCCAACAATTGAGTTGATTGTTCATCTTTGTAGTAAAATTTTGTACTTTTTTCATTATTTGATGTCAGCTGTAGAATTATTGGACGATCAACATCAAATTTGACTAAAATGCTCTCAAGTTTCTCGAAAATTTCACTTTTGGGTATCTCATCTGTCTCATCAGTTTTGATCTCAATGATTAAAATGAACAAATTTGGATATTCATCTTGTATTAAACTTTCTAGCTTCCTCAATAAATCATCAAAGTTTGACGATAATTTCAAAATTTTGCAATTTTTCTTAGCTTTTCTATTAGCTTCATCATAATCAAGGATTATATAAGTTTCATCAATTTCAAATGACTTTTCCAGAATGCTCAATGATTGATAAGCGCTACCAAATACAAAATCCTCATGACTTTCGGCATGTCCAACATCCATGTTAAATTAATCACTATGCTGGATGTTTTCTAAATAAATCAAATACTAATTTTATAATTTTAAATCCTATGGAAAAAATGTTAAATAATTGAATTTCGAAATTTTTTTTTGACTTAAGTCAGTGTTGTCCAAACTTTGTGACGTGGCACCCTGAAGTGCCTTAGGGCATCCTTAGGTGTGCTGAGGAAAAATATCTAAAGTCAAAGTGTGCCGTGGCTGAAAAAAGTTTGGACAACACTGACCTAGGTTGACGCTAAAACCCATCTTGTTTCGACTTTTAATCTTAGAAAAAATCCGCAATAAAAAAAACTATTTTGCTATCATAAATTTTATCATATTGAATATTTTCTATCGTACGATTTTCGCTTAGGGGCCGTTCACTTATGACGTCCTTTAGGAGAGGAAGAGGGGGGGTCAGCAAGAAAAGAACAATAGAAATTCCTGGAAATCCTTTGTTCTCTTTTGAAAAATGACCGTTATTTTCGGAAATCAGTAAACGGCCCCTTAGAACTCATAATAGTTTTTTTTAGCGATAAGACATTTTAGGCAGTTGTGAATTTATTATCAAAAAAACATATTTCATGAGTGTGCGATTTTTTTGAGAGAAAATGTTTTGTGCTAATTAAAACACACATGTGCTTACAGCGTTTTAGTTTGTACTCTTGAAAATCCAAATCTATTTATAGTTTTGTATATTAAATTCTGATATTTACTGATCATTTCAAGGGCGTGGCTAGACATATTTTAATGTAAAGTGGTCTATATGTTTTAATTTGAAAATGACCTCCAAATAGCACAAGTCGGTTAATCGATCAGAAATTCGGCATGACTCTGGCATGGTGCTGGATTTAAATCGAAACCAGCATCATGCCAGAGACTTGCCAGATTTTTGTTCGATTAACCGACTAGTGCTACCCCCTTTCCTTTGATTTGACCTCTAAAGCCAGATCCTAGAGCTATCCGTGACATAACTAGGAAAGGAATGAACATGTTTGTCTCTCAAGATAGAGTAAAAATAAATTTTACTCAAGATTTAAGTACTGTTCAATGTGAAGCCCTATAAATCAACTTCTGTTCTAATGAATCATGTGCTAGTTTGTTGCTAGTTCAGAGCATAACATTATAATATTAAATTATTATTTTAATAAGCCACATGCTGAAGAATTAAGTCAATTTAAAATAGCTCTTAAAATTGATGCTATTCTCAATTACCTACGTGAATTCCTTATCACATGCTGGATTAAGATTCTATCAAAAACATTTATCACAACTTTAACTTGCCAAGTCTACTTAAGCACTAAAAAAATCACATTCGCGTATTTTTGAGAGGAAATTTTCATTTTCTCATTTTTTACTCACAAAAAAGCAGCTGACAGATTAGCCACGTGTGGCTCTCAAACAAATCGCAATTTTATTCTCAGTGAATTGATAAAGAGAGCCAAAAATATTTTGAGACGAGACAATTGTGATTGTTGCTGGAAAAATGAGATACAAAAAGCTGAAATAATTTTAAAAAATTGTAAATTTTTTTATAACAAACGAATTTTTATTTTTAATTTAATTTGCTTCTTTTAGGTTCACTTGGTTCCTCCTCATCATCATCATCATCTTCGTCTGATTCATAATCTGATTGACCTTTTCGTTCCAAATAAGCCAAATATTCCCAATCAATCTCATCTTGCGGATCGTGTTGATAAAATTCAACAAAATAGTCAACATGCTCAAAATCTTCTATTACTTCATCATCGGAACTAGGAACCGATTCTTCATCATATTCATCCTTCCAGTCAATAAGCACAAAACTTTTAGATTTATTCATCAATTCCGGTTCCTTTTCAAAGAGTCTTGAGAATCTTCGCCATCTTGACAGGAGGCAGCGATCAATTTTCAGGAACTTCAACTTTTCCTTTAAACTCTTCAAAAAGTCACCAATCCATTCAGCACCTTGTAAGTTCTTAGCTATAAAATTCTCAATTTGATGACCTTCAAAGTTGAATGGATTTGAATTTTTTGCACAGATGTTGTGGACTTCTAAATTCTTGAAATCTGATCAAGCGCATCTCTGCCTGTGTAAATTGATAAAAATAAAGTTTCCAATTTCTTAAAGTTGACAATTTCGTTGACTTTATGGCATCTACTTATGTCCAATTCCTTAACATTTGGGAACTTACTAGACCAATTGACTGCTGTTTCATCATAGCACATACCCGAAATTCTGAGCTTTTCTATGTACGGCATTGGCACGGTTGGAAGTTTGGTTTCGTAGAGATCAAGTGACTTGAGATTCGGGAAGTTGGCAACGCAATCGAGAATTTCTGTCTGATTAATCATATGTGCTAGTTCATATCTCAAAAATTGATTCATTTCAAGGTGCTGCAGGCTGTCTTGGTGATTTTTCAGGAATTTTTTAAAGTTTTCAATCTCAACTTCTCGAATCGTCTTGATTGACAAGTTCTTAAGCCTGAATTCCACTTCATTTAAGGCATCATCATTGAAGATATCCGCGTCATTGTCAAACTTAATGAAAGAAATTTTTTCCAACTTTTTCTGTACTTTTAGGAAGTTTTGACATGCTTCCAATTCTCCAGGCTTGGTCTTGATTCGATAAGAATAAAAGGACTTAATTTGACAGTGCATGAACATCTTCAGAATATTAAAGTCACTACCCCACCCTAATGAATCTATGTCCAATTTCAAATGTGGCTCATCAAAGCATCCATCGTCGTAATTTAAAGTCAAACTGTTTAGATCAAGGCGTAATAACTTTGGACAGTTTACCAATATCTTCTTAAGTTCCGTTGCATCTATAGAAACTGAGTTGATGCATAGACGTGTCAAATTATTGCTGATTGCGTCGAAGATTTTTGGAACTTCTTTGTGCATTTCCTGAATAATTAAGCGGGAATACTTTCTGGTTCCGTTCCATTCGTCAGTGTCATTGGTCTTGTTCGAGACACGAATTGTAAAATTCTTCATGAGCTGCGTGCTGTTGCTGATCAAATCATTGAACTTCTTACAGACAAGTGTGAAGTTTGGGATTTCTGGAGACTCAAAAAGGTTGAAGATGTAAATAAGAACTTCGTCTGGCAGGTCATGTAACATGATTGATGTGATTTGAGATCTAAAAGTGAGATTTTTCTGTTAGCTTTTTTGTTTATTTTAGTGCCGGTTTACTTACTTCAGTTGTTGAATGCGGTTTTTGGAATGATTTTGAGTTGATTCTTCAGTCTTTTAGTGAATTCTTCTAGCTAAGCAGCTTGTTGGAAGGATTTTGAATAGATTGACTTCTAGTTAAGCGTATTTGAATTAAAAATTTCTGAATAAAATTATTTTGTTTATTTTGAAACTAAAAACAATAATTTAGGTAGACAATCTAGTAGATCTGGGGTAGATCAAATATTTAAATTCTTAAAAACCGTTAATATCTTTCTTAAGAGTTGCAATCTTGACTTCTGTATTTTCAGTCAACATCTTACAGATCGAAATTTTTTGCGATTATTAAGCCAATAAGTTCTTGATTCTTTTATTATTGACTGAACTTTGGCTTTTTAGAGTCATTTACTAATGATTTACTTTAAATTATTCAGTTTTAAGCTTAATTTCAGGATTTATTTCACCATAATTATTATTACTTTAAAAACCTTACCTTTTGAGATGAATTCTTTGTTTTCTAGCCTTTATATAAGTTCTTACTGACTTCTAAATGTTATGTTCTGCGATGTTCTATTACTTGTTCTACTATTCGTACTGATTTTGCACTAAAAACTTAATTATTTTGATGATTTTTTTTGTTTACACGTTTTCTTACCAGGAAATTTTGTTACTGAACGCACTCTTAGTACCTTACAACTGATTTTGTATGGTTTTAAGACAATTTTGAATTTCAAATGACCGTTATATATTAAATCAGAAGATTTTATTGATTTTTCATTGTAATTTAATGATTACTTGAGTTTGATTCATTACTTAAGGATTCCTTCACATCAGGGGTGGATCCAGAAAGAAGGGAAGGGGAAAAGACGAGGGTCCCCCCTTGAAATTGAAAATTTTCTTCAATTTTCTACGGTTTTTGAAAAAAAAACCGAAAAGGACCCAAAATTTTTCCATAAATTCAAAAAAACTGCAAACCTTCTTCCTTGCTTTTAAAAAATGTCAGGATTCGCTCCTGCTTGACACTCATGGACGGAACCAGTGGAGTCTAAGATAGTTCTAGCCCCCAACCAAACAAGACACACCAATAAACTGTCTCATAGCTTTAGTCTGGCCATAAATGTAATAATAAACATTCATGCCTGTTTAAAGTCACAAGAGTTATCCTCTTAAACATTACAATGTCAAGTTGATAATCAATGAATATTACACATGACTATAAATAGCTCAGGTGTGCCACGTATTTGCTCTGGTCTCAAGTTTCACAAACATCCATCATGTGACATTTATTCAGGCGATAATGATCATTTTCGGTTTAATTGTCGTGTGAAAGAGTTGAAAAGTTAAAATTTTGTCAAAATTAAGGAAAATTCTGCTAAATTTAAGTACAAAAGCTACAAAGTTATAATAAAATTGGCAAAAGGACCTCAAAAATGACCTCATCAGTCCATAGCATCATCTCAACTCTCCACTACCTAGCCAAGTTCTTTGGCATCTACCTTTTCACTTTAAACTCCTTAACACTAGATCCAGAATTCAAAATCTCAGACTTAATCTGTGGATCAGTCGCAATAATCTTTTATGGCATCATTTCTTATATCCACTGGATGCACGCCTTTGTCTACATAAAAATCAACTCAAGAATTGTTGAAAAAGGAATTCCTATCATGATGACTTTACATTACTTCCTTTATACTACAATTATTATGCTTAGCAACATTAAAAGAAAGGATTTTGGTGAAATTTGCAAGAACTTGACGGAAGTCGACAAAAGTTTTGAATATTTTGATACAAAATTCGATTACAAGAAAATTAGCGGAACTGTCAGAATTGCTGTCATTAAACTGATG